ACTTGCATTTGAGATAAATATTTGGGAGACAGATAGAGCCAGGACTTGTCGTCCAGATACAAGAAAGTCAGAACAGCTTTAATTGTTCTTTGCTCTCTCTTAACCCTGGGTTGCTCTAACATTGCCAATGTCGTTTAGATATCTCAAAAGCTGACACAGGAAGTGTTATCAATTCTAGCCTGTTGTTTTATATAGAACACCTGCCAATCGCAAATTTGTAACTGATCATCTTGTCTTCTGAAGGCCCTCCTTTAGCTTGTTTGTGTCTTGTTTGTTTGTTTGTTTGTTTCTTCCCAGAAAAAGGTAGGTATTTTACTTCCTTGGTTTATTCAGTTTCTTATGAAAAAATACTGTGACTTAATGCAAGACTTAGAGGCATGCTAACATCATCATCAAACCCTTGGTCCTCTCTTGCTGCTGTGGTGAGGCTTCAGTCCATAAGGCAAAGGCTATAAGAACCCTGTTTGAAAGGTCTTCAAAGATCCAGCTGTCACTGTGGCTGTCACCATCTTCCCATATAACATCAGGTTTTCTGGGTCTTATGAGTCAGCTCCATGTCAGTAATGAAAATCATGACACACGGCAGTCTTTTTCTTTTCCAAACCATTTTTTTTTAGGCCTGTGAGGTGAAAAACAATTGCTGGGAAGGTGAAGAAGTAGCACATGTGTGCAGAAAGAGGTCAGGTGGATTGCACACACTCACCATTGGTTCATTCACTGATGTTCAGTGAATGCTGCTGCACACATCACATTGTGACAGTCCTGTCTCTTGAACATACTGCTACCAGGTATTTAGAAATTTTAAAACTTGTCTGATTGTAGCTGGGTGGAGTCTGCCTAAGTCAAAGGGATTTTACCTGAATCTGGGGATCTACCTAAGTTGAAAGTGATGCATAGTTACAGCTGTACTGTGGCTGAGAGGCTTGAATGTGACAAGAAGTAAAATCCTATGGAAAGTTGTATTTTGAAGATGATGCTGGCCTCTGACGGAGATTTTCCCTTCTAGTCTGCAGGGAAGCAGAAAAGCAGCTAATTCTGGAGCCAGTAAGCCCTGCACCTGAACACCCATCACTGCCACAGTGCTGATGGAGGATGGATTTAACCCTCCCTTGCCATCTCTGACCTTCTTGTCCCCAAACTCCCCCTGTGTGCCTGGTGCAATGAGCCTCCACCAGCCTCTGGTTATAATATGATGGGTGCCAGATGATGACAAAAAGCACCAGCAGAGACACCCCCTGGACCACAGCCATCAATGGCAGGAGGCCATTTTCAACCAACTCTTCAGCAAAGGCTTTGCCACGGTGACCTGGCTCTGAAGTGCCACCAGAGCAGAGCAGTCTTGCTGAACACAGCTCTCTACTGAAAAAAGAAAATACCTTGGGTATGCTGGAAATAAAAAATGTGGTTTGAAATGCAAGAAGAGGAAGGACAGTGAGCTATCTTGAAGCATCTACATGAAACATACAGTGACATTTAAACCTGACAAGACCAGTGAGGAGAGCCCAGCAGACTGGGGAATTAGACAAAAGGGCCTGGGTTTCAGTGCAAGCTTTTATCTCATTCCTAGGGAAGGTGTTTGGAGACCTTGAATGAGAAGAAAGGGTAGCAAGATAAACAGAGCAGGCAGCTGAATCCCCTCAAGATCCTGAAACAATGATCAAAGGAAAATGCAGAAGAAGAACATGCCCTCAGAAGTCAGAGGGAAACGATTCATAGCTCAGCTGCAAGGATCAGGTATTAAAGGAGATATTTCAGCTTCTCCAGGGAATCCAGGCTGTCCCACACCAGGAAAGCACATGCTCATGCTGCAGGGAGAGCATGAGCAGGGCTGAGCAGAAAGGCCAAGTTTTCTCCTGCCTGGATTATTGGATATGCTGCAGGTCCTAAATGTTGGATATGGGATAGCACAGAAGGATGTGTAAAAAGATAAGATATTATATGTAAAGGAAAAAATATCCACAGTAAGGGTGGTTGAATACCTGAACAGGTCACCTACAGAGGTTATGCAATCTTCATCCTTAGAGATTTTCAAGGCTTGACTGGAAAAGGCCCTAAGTAACCAGGTTTAACCTTGAAGTGAGTCGTCCTTTGAATGGGAGGGTGGACCAAATGATCTCTGGCAGTTCCTTCCGACATAAATTGCTCCATGATTCTGTAACTCTGTGATCTGAAATTATCTCAGTGTAATATTTTAAAGTTTTAAGATGTTTGTGTGCTCTAAACACTGCAATACTTGGACTTTGAGAGCTGGAAGGGAACTTACAAGAAAATGCAGGCCATCTACCAGCTCAGCAAGACCTATGCTATTCCTAGAATGACTCTGAGGAGCAAAGCCAAACTTCTCCAATTTGCTCACAAACTGTGGCAGATAAAATGTGTGTGCTCCTGTTGTGAATGTAAGGGATCTCACCAGCCAGCATTTCCACTGGGCAATGCATCTCCACCTGCAAAGGAGCAAAAGAGCATCTCTACTTCTTGCAAGCAGTCAGATATTTTTATGTTACATCCCATCTTAAGACGAGTTTTAGTGCTGGGTTTGGGTCGTGCTGTGCAGAAGCAGGAGAAATAGGTACATTTTGTACACTCAAGGTCTCTTTGCAGATTTCATCCTGTTAGCCTCAGGAGACAGTGTTTGGCCATAACGTGCTTCAGTCAGCCTGCTGGAAGAGTAAGCCACAGGTCATGAGCCCTGCAGCTCTGACTCAGAGCAGGAGCTAGAGAAATAAAAATTAAAATTAACCTGAAAAATAGAAGTGGGAAAAAAATATCTGACCACACAGTCCTCAGTGATGCCAACAGCAACATTTTATTTCAAGCTGATCGTGCCTTGCATATCAAGGCATGGCCAGGGTGCCTTATCTGGCAGCTGTTAGTCACCCAGAACTGAATCCCCCAGAGAGGCTCACATTTGATCATTGTTTCTTCAGTCTACCCAGGGGCTTCACCACAGGACAAGCACCCTACAGCGCCAGATATTGTGTGCACAAAATATACCCCCTCCCCTCCGTCATCATAGAGAAATTTCTACTCTGTTTTCTCCCTTGACCCACATTTTTGTAGAAGGTGCTTTTAAAGGAAGGAAAGAAAATGAGAAGCAGCCTTTTGATGGCTACTGAAGGGCCTGGGGTGGCAGTAGCAGCCCAGGCTGAGAAGGATTAATAGGCAGTATACATGTGAGGAGGTCAGAGGTGGCAAATAAATGCAGTTTATCAGAGAGTTACAGAAATAAAGGAATGAATCACATTGCTAAATCACCATAGATGAGGTATAAATAGAGTTAATCAATGCTGAATGAAAGCATATTAGCTCAAGGAGAATTACTCATGCACTGCAGGTGTTTTCCCAATCCCTGTCCATGGAAGTAATGAGTGAGAGCAGTAATTGGTGTCCAGCCCATCTCCAGCCAGCAGCTATTGCCCCTTCTGGACTGAATTAATCTTTCAAATTGCTATGCTGCTTTACAACACATATTTCAACATGATGATCTTTTACTTATTATTATTTTTGGTAGCTAGTGAGCTATCGAGATTGATAGCATCCTTTGCAAGAGAAATAAAGAACCCAAGGGGAACTGATAATTCATTGAACTTTTGAACTACCTCCAAGTCACCTCTCTGGGACTTGGAAATTATGATGTATTATTTATCCAGCCCTGGCTGTGCCTCTCACAGTGTGGTAGGAAGCTTCAGGAGAGTAATAAAAACTCGGGTCCTGCATGCTCTCCCTGAACACTCACTGCTGGAGAGAGCTACTATCTTGCCTGTCAATAAGGGCTGTTATTTTTCCATTGTAGCCACTTTTTGAACAGCAGTTTCTATGTGTCAGGTTACCAAAGCAGCCTCAAGAGTTTCCTTCTCTCTGGTCAGCTGAGCTGCTGCCTCCCTGTTGTGATGCTGGAGGGGTGCAGGTCTCCATGACTTCTCTGCCCTTTGGGGCCAACACCACTTCTCCCACAGACTTCAGCAATACAAGGACTGATGGCCAAGCAACTGAGCGTAGCTTCCCTGAGTCCACATCTCCCCCTGCGAGGTGCTCAGCTCTGTAGCCCAGAGTCAGAGAAGTGCTTAAACAGAGATTTAACACAATCATGTGCTCACCTTCCTCACAAGCTGAGAGCTCCCAGGGCAAGTCCAAACCAAATTTATTTCCCAGCAAAGTTACTTCAGTGGGTGCTGGGAAATCAGCTTGCATCACACTAGCTATGCTGAGTTTTCTCACACTCATCTCCTTACCTTCCCTTCTTCATGCCAGGCAGGGTGAAGGTGCTGGCTGTAGGGCTGCTGATGGGACCATCCCCAACCCATTAGACCCTGCTCTGGGAGTGGGGCTGAGACTGCACCACTTTGGAATGGCAAAGTCCCACTTCTCTGAAGACCTGAAGTAGGACTGCTGGCAGAATAAGGGCGAGCATGAGAGTGACCTTTGTCACTTGAATCAAGTTTAGCCTTTGACAGCAAAGGTTATGTACTAGATCTATTCTGTGGGTATTCACAGGGATGTCACCAAGCCCACCTGCAGCTATGAAGATCACCAGGGGGCTGGAGCTATGCTATGAAGATAGGCTGAGAGAGATGTGGTTGTTCAGCCTGCAGGAGAGAAAGCTCCAGAGAGACCTTATAGTGGCCTTGCAGGATGTGAAGGGGTTAGGGGAAAGCTGGAGAGGGACTTCTCACTAGGGCAGGTAGTGATAGGGAAAGGGGAAACTGTTTCAAGCTGAAAGAGGGGAGATTGAAGTTGGATATTAGGAAGAAATTCTTTACTGTGAGGGTGGTGAGATGCTGGAACTGTTTGCCCAGGGAAGTTGTGGATGTCCCTGGCAGTGTTCAAGGCCAGGTTGGATGGGGCTTTGAGCTACCTGGTCTAGCGGGAGGTGTCCCTGCCCATGCGGGGGGGTTGGAACTAGATGATCCTTAAGGTCCCTTCCAGCCCAAACCGTTCTATGATTTCGTCTCGTGACTGGATATGTTATCACCCTTTGGGCCCAACCCGCAGCAGGCGCGATGTGCGGGGGTCCCGGCCCCCCCGCGATCCCCGCACCCGCCGGGCGGGACGGAGCCCAGCGGCTGAGCCGCCTTTCCTTTACTCCTGGCTCCCTCTCGTGGGCCTCCCAAAAAAAGCACATTCTGGGCGTTCCCGAAGCTCCTGCCCCGCGGCCCCGGCGGGTTCCTCCTCCCGCAGCCCCCCGGCCCTGCCCTGCGCCCCGGGAGCTCCGGGCTGCCATGGAACTGCCGGCCGGGCTGCGGGACCCGGCCAGGGAGCCGGTCTCATTGCCAAGTAGAATACAGTAGTTTGAGTTTCTCAGGCTGTGTTCTGCTTCGCTTCTGTGCTAGTGCCCCCAGCCGTGGGGAGCTGCTCATTTAATGGTTTTGTTTCCATGGCTTACCACCAGTTTCAGGGGCAGATGTGCTTTCTCCCCAGCACAAAGACCATCCTCTGTCCTCTCCTGCACTCCCTCAAGCTACAGTCTTCAGTAGCTGTGTCCCTGGCAGTGCTGCTGCATTTCCTTCCCCTGCTGCTTCTCAGTGCCACGGGGCTGGGCCTGCCTCTGTGTCTGCAGCACCCTTCATCCACCCCACAACCTGGCTCAAATCTTCATCTTAGTCTTCAGTTTGCAGTGCTTTCAGAGAGCTGCCACGTTCCTCCTCATTCCCTGCCTGTCTGCCAGCCCCTCTGCCCCTTCTTGATCCCCTTCAGCACAGCTCTCACCTCATTTTTCACTACCCATGGCCCTGCACCTGCTTGGCAGCCCTTTCACCCCAGTTCCCTCTTTCTCAACACTTTCAGCACTGTTGTCTGCCAGGGCACTGTCAGCACCCCCATCTGCCTCTGTTGCCTGACCCCTTCTGTTCATCCCTGTGACCCCAAAACACCTGAAAATGCACTTACATTCCTTCACTCCCTCCTTTTAGTCTTTCCCTTCTTATGTTACATGTTTCAGTCCCAGCTGTGTCCCTTGCTCCAGCTGTAACTCATTCTGAGGCACAAAGGAAGAGCGACAAGACACATCACTGAAAGCTGCATTGGGAACACGGAGCTGCTGTGAGGCTCAGGACATGCCTGCAGCTGCAGGGCTGCAAATTAGGGTCTGCTGCTTTGCTGCAACAACTCAGGTGGGTAACTGAACCTACCCATGCCTTTCTTTCCCTCCTTCATTTGTCCTCTATATTTCAAACTCAAATTGCCAAGTGCAGGACAATTTCTTATTCTTTTGTGTTAGGGTGTCTGATTCCAATAAGTCCTATTTTCTGTGCTAATTTAAGGCCTGATAACAACACAAATAATAACAACAGTGTACAGAGGTTATGAAGTAAACCTTTGGCTAATGGTATCTGTTAAGTGAAGTGATGCTTGCTAGTCTTTTACACATTAAAGGTCCATGAGCCTGCAGCTGCCTCCAGAACAATTTATTTCAATTTCACCTTATTTTCCGCTTGCGAGATACTCCATAAGACTTAGTGACAGTATATGAAAAAGGAGCTAGAAAGCATTTTGATGTAGAACAGCCACTGAGCCATCCAGTATGCTTAATGTGCTTTATTCAGAAACATTAATCACTGAGTACTGTAGATTTACAAAGAACTGTACCATTTGGTGTTGTTTCTGCCTTGCCCTTCTCACCAGTTAGGTTTATTTGGACTCCTTGGTGCATTTAGCAAGGAGGAGTGTGCTTGGCTGCAGCTAGGTCTTCCATGCCCCAGGTCCATCCAAGAGCTCCTTTGCGTCATGGTACAAAGGGTGTAAGTGAAGTGGAAAAGACAGGCTCTTTCTCTGCAAGAATCACTATTTACATGTCACTTGCTGGGAAAATTAAGCAAGGATATGCATATGTTAGAAATGTCTGAAAACTCAGGAAAGCAAGGCAAGGCTATTTCCAAATGGTATCATTCAGACTGATAGACCTTGGCTATTAGATACTAAGAGTTCAAAGCTGACAGAGGAAATAGTTTTTGCTTTGGCTGATTCAGTGTCTCTTTGGTCTGGTCATCAAGATCACAGTGTTATCAACTGCACCTGAGCTGTCGTGGGAGTGGAAGTGCCTTTCTGTTGACCTCACTCATTGCCCACTGAAAAGATGATGGAGGAAGCCTCCCATCTGGCTCTGCTACAGCATGCCAGGTATTCAGTGAGAAGCAGGATTTCCTCTGGGGAGAGCTTGCAGGGAGGCAAAGTAAGTCCTTGTGCAGAAAAAGTCAGCAGACATACACCAGTGGCTCAGCAGGAGAGACTGCAAAGTTGCTGCCCTCACCCAGCTCACCATGCATGGGGAGACTTTCTCCCATCCGAGTCCAGGTGCCTTCAGCTTTGCATTTTTGGGCCCAGCTGTGCTAAGAGACCATGGACCAACCCTATACGAGGTGGTGCAGAGATGCCTGCCCTAACCCAAATTTCTAAGCCCATGTAATAGACGTCAAGGACTTTATGTGCCTTTACAGTTGTGTGCACCCTGTGGGACCAGCCAAAAGCTGAGAAAAATTTTACTCTAGTGATTATGTTCTCCCACAGCACAAGCCAGTACTTGCATACAAACATACATATGCATGAGGACCAGAAAGCTGGTGTGGCTATTATTACCATCTATGTTATTTAGTGAAGTGGCATTGCCAGGGTGTGAAAGAATCTGCAACAAGATGAAGAACAAGACAGAAGATCTGAATGGGGCTGTGAAAGGAGCAGCTATCAGATTGCCTTCAAACTTGCTTGAAAAAGCAAAAGCAGAGTGGGCGGAAGACCTCATAGCCTTTGGGAAAGGAGAAAGAGGAAAGGGTGATGGGAGTGAGCTGATCCTCATGCAAGGGAGCAAGGGGCGATAAGCTATGTGGGCAGACCAAGGCAAGAGGTATCTCCCTGGCTTGCCATTCCTCCAATGAGGATGACATTTTGTTTCTGCAGCCCCCAGGAACCCTACAAGACCAACCTCACTGGCAAGAGCCACCCATAACCCTGAGGGCTCTGTGTGTCATGGGCACCAAGAGCAGCTGTCTGAGGCAGAGGACAAGTCAGAGGAAGAAGGCAGTTGTTTAAAGCATGTCCAGCACCCTGAGTCAGTAGGAAGATGGCTTGAAATCTTTAAAAGTCAAAGCAATATAAATATTTTTTCTGCTGCATGTCTCTTCCCTCAGTCTTTCTTTGTTCTATTTCCACAGCTCTACCTGTTCTTCCTCCTTCCCTTTCTTCTGGCAGTCCTCCCCCTCTCTCTCTTGTTTCTGGGTTTCTGACTTCTTGGTTTTAGACTCTATTCTGCCTTCTTGTTTTTAGACTCTCTTCTGCCTTCCTTTCCTCTTTAATGCTCCCTGTTGACAGAAAGCTGCCATCTTTCAGCAAGACACCTCACACCCAGCCTTGGCCTCCTGTCAGTTGAAAGGAGACAAGATGAAAGGTGTCAGACTGAAAGTAGGACAAATATGCCTTTCCAACCACCCCAATGAACAACCCAAGTCTAAAGAAGTGCAGGAGGTAAGAGAGGTGAACAGAAAGACAGCCTTTTGGGTTTTTTTCCCCGCTCACTTCATGTTAGCCTTCTTCTCCATCAGATCCTTCCAAAGACACCACCAGCACTGTCAGTAGAGAGCTGACTTCAGGCAGCACAGTGCCAGCCACTCCCCACACTGCCCACTGACCAGCCACTGCCAGGAGAGTGAAAACTCTTGCCTCTTTAAGCAGAGATGGAATGCCCCTTGTCTCTTGTGAAATGCTATTGTGAGATGGGAAAGTGGAGCCTGCTCCTGCTGTCATTGCCATCAGCATGGGGCTTGTTTTCAGCATTGATGACACAGGCTACTAGCTCAGAGCTGGCCCAGTTGGGGTGGACACAGGCTACTAGATTAAAGTATCAGCTCAGCTCTGAGTCCAGCCTTCAGATTTCCTGGAGTGAATGCACTGAGGCACAGCCCCCTGCAAGGCCACCAGCCAGCAGAGCCCTTTCCTTGCCCTCACTCCTGCTGCTCACCAACCCCGGTTTTGTGGCTTCAGCACAGGGGCAGGCATGTGACAGTCATTTACCAGTGTGTGCCAAAGACAGTAGCTGCTCACATTGTTGCCATCTCCACCCTGGCAGCCTGCAATCCACTTGTCAACACATAATTTTATCAGAGGGAAAATGCTGGCCCATGGCTTGGCTGCTTGGTGCATTTCAAGTTGGGAATGTGCTGCTAAATGAACCAGCACAAGCCCTCCCACTGCTTCTCCCCTTCTCCTTTGTCTTCAGCAAGAATTATTTATTGCCCAGGAGCAGCAGTGAGGGACTGGGTTTTTGTTTCCTGGCTGGGGAAAGGCCGTGACCAGAGCCGGGTTCTGCCTTTTGATTCCTCTGCTATTGGATCCATTTTTATTTCAGAGGACCGGATACTCTCTTGATGTGTAATAGAAATGGGTGAAGACATGGCACTTACCCCAGGATCAGCCTCTTTGAATTCAGATGTTCAATCAGCTAGTAAAGGGGCAGAGAGCAGTGGAAGGAGGGGAGGATGGCAGCACCATAAGTATCCTAAGGAAACCTTGGCATCTTTGCACTGTTTCCATCAGTGCAGGAAGTCCAGAGATTTTGATACTGTACATCAAAGCCAAAGGTGAATGCAGGTAAACAGAGATCATTCACTTCTCATTTGGGCAGCAAGAGTTTACTCATTCCTTACCAGGTTACTAAAGAACCAAGGAGAGAAGATTATTTACTTTTACTCATCCCTGTAGCACTGATCCTCTTTCAGAGGCATGTTGAGGGTTTTTGTTCTATTTATTTTTGAACTTAATGTTACACAAAGTGTACAAAAGGCCTCTCTAGCCTTTGCCCAGGAGAAGAAACCAGCATGTACTTTGGCGAGACACAAGCACATGCTTTCTTTGCCCCACACCTGCAGGACCTTGTTGACAGCTGTGCCCAGACCTCTGTGCTGAACCCTCCTTGGTAGTTCCTCTGAACCTTGAGTGTGTGTGCCATCCACCCTTGCTCTGCCTTGATGGGGTCATTGGTGGGTTGTGCAAGGTGAGGTGCTCTGCAAACACACCCCAGGGACAGTCCCCTCCTTCCCCAGGGTCTTCATGTTGAAGGACAAGACAGGGGACTTCAATGTGGCCACAAAGCAGAGGACAGCAGCAAAGCCAGCCCCTTTGCTGCCCGTGGTTAAACTCCTCTCCACTTGTCCCTGTTGACTGCAAACCCTCTGTCAGAAAATTTTGGAGTTAACTTAACCAGAGAGACCAGTGCAGTTGGCAGGCAGATTTGGGGAGGGCTTTCTAGCAGTTGCAGAGGGAGGAGGCAAAACCACAAATGGTAGAAG